CCAAATCAGCATCCGGGGCTGTTAAAGGCACAAAGCATGTGGCATGAAACCCAGGGAGTTAGTGCCCCCCACGGAGGGCGCCCACCCCAGCCTCCAGTCCAGAGGGGTGGCTTCCACCACCGCGGGGGCTCTGTGCAGACAATCAAACCCATCTTGTCGTTAAGTGGAGCCACCTTGGACTCCCGATATCTCTGCAAATGCCATGCTGCCTTGGAGCCTCCATCTTTAATCATTCTAAGTGGGCGTCCCTGTTAAGTGGACGTCTCCATTAAGTGGGCTTAGCCAGGAACCCCTCCTCACTCAAAGTTGCCACTCCCCCTTCCTGTGGGGTAGCTCGAGGGCCCTGTAAGATGACAAGCGGGGCCTATTCAGTGAAGTCTGCATAGACCCCAGCCATAGGAGACATGTCTGTGCTGGGGGCAAGAGGTCAGGGGTTCTGGGGTGTTGAAGGGTGGCAGCACACAGCTGGCTATACTTAGTGCCACCCCAGTCCCCCAGAGAGCCAGTGTTGGTGGCCACTAAGGAAGGGTGGCACCTCTCCCAACCAGCTGTGCACCTCAGCAGATGGGCAGGTGTCAGGCCTTCTGGGGGCTGTGACCCCAGACCCTCCTGGGGGAGGCGGGGCAAAGCCTGAGGGCCAGGAGACAGCTGTCAATGTCCAGAGCAGGCCCTATCCACCCCACCCTAAGCCCACTCCTCCAGATGTTGTTAGGTGCCATGGAGTGGGCTCCAACTCATAGAGACCCTGTGTACAACAGAGCAAAACACTCCCGTCCTGCGCCAGCGTCACAGTCCTTGCTATACCCGAGTCCATTGTTGCAGCCACTGCTCCAGATACATACATAAAAAATTCTCCAGCAGAAAGCATGGAGGGTGGCAGGGGAGGTCTATGGGACAGGCTGCTGGCCCAGGAGGGACAGAGGGGTAGCTATACCATGAACCCACCCACCGAGTCAGTGCTTCCCTGGAGGTCTGAAGGCTCCCAGTTGGTGAGGGACCTGGGGGGAGAGGAATGCCCAAGAGGCAAGTGAACACCTGGGCCAGTGGCTGTGGGACTGGGCCAGGGACCTATCTGGGGACAGTGTTTGCTCCCCAGGGACTATCGTCAGAACCCCACGGTACCCACAGCCTCCTGCACCGTTACCTTGGCTTCTGGGTCCGTCTTATCCCTAAGGGGTGGCAGAATAGGGCAGGGCCCCACCCAAAACCAGTGTCTGGCAGCCCAACCTGTCTGTCAGGTCACAGGGATAGTGGTCAGCCTGAGCACAGGGTACCTCAGGGCAGCAGAGTGGCCAGGGATTGTGACTTGTCCCAAAGGGCTCCTCAGAGTGTCAGGAGGTGGGAGTCTCATTCCAAGAGGCAGAGGTGGGTGAGGCCTCTGCTAGCTAACAGGCAACCAGGACCCCCCACCCCACCAGCAATGGAAGCTCCTTCCTCACTGTTCTCACACTGGTCAGAGCCAGCCGCTAAGTGCCAAGTTTGGGGTGGGGACTTTGAGGGGTACCGAGGGCAGGGGCAGAGATCTTGGTCTGATCACCTGAGCACCTGGAACTATGGCCAGCACCAAGAGACCTCAGTGAGTGAGTAAATGAAGGAGTGAGTTTAAGGATGAATGAGTGAATGAATGAATGGATGGATGAATGAATGAATAAGTGTGTGCGTGAGTATGCAGTGGGCCTTGTCCCACCCCTCAGGGTCTGGCCTGCAAGTTTCAACAACACCCATGTTCCCAGGGGCTCTGAAGAGGTGGGAGGCAGAGTGCCTAGAGGAGGGATCTCAGCTCCGTGGTGGCCCCACCCCCTGGGGGCCCAGCACCCCCTATAGCCTGAACTTCCCCCAACACACACAAGCACAGTCAGCTGCCTCTGTGGCCACCCAGCTATTTGCCTGTCACAGTAGGAGGGGCAGGGGTCAGGGTGGCCGTGGGAACAGCCTTATCCGGCTAAGGCTGCCATGTGGCACCCACAGCCTAACTCCGGGTCCCCCAGCACCTCAACTTCCTCCCAGGTTCAGAGAGACTCCACCAGCCTCAGGAGACCTTGGGCAGATGTGGAGGGGCAGATGTGCCTGGGCCTAGAAATCCCCACCCCTTCCTTGGGGAGGACCCCACCTACAGACCCTGGGTAACCCCCTCTGTCGGGTGAGCTCCAGCCACACAGGGCTTCCTGCATTGGCTGGGGGACAACCTCGCTGTAGAGGAGGGACAGGGCCCCCCCATGCACTTTACACCCCTGGGAGCTGAGCCCCTGCTCCTCCCTGCACCCCCTCAGCCAACTCTGAGGGAAAAGCCAGGCTAGGCCTGGCCACCCAGCCTTCGCTCTCTGATCCTCTATCTCGCTCCTTGCAACCCTGCTGCCTGCCCTCTGACCTCTGTGGAGGGGAGCACCTGCCCATTGAATATTTTCTGAGCAACAACTACCCACCAGGCACTGGGGAGACACTGCCACAGAGACAAACATCCTCATCTGTGTGTGAGAGAGAAATGAAGACAGAGACACAGAGAAGAGAGGAGAGATAGAGAGAGTAACACGGAGAGACAGACACAGAGAACAGTGCTGCTGCCTCTGCCACCCAGACCCTTCTGCCCCAGGAGAGGCAGCCAGCAGCCCTGTCTTCGCCCTCCCGCTGAGGCTCTAACCTTCCCTGGGTCCCCAGGTCCAGATTCTCCCCGCTTGGCTCCACCTCCCTGCAAGGCCTCGGCTCAGGCCCAGGCACCATGACACCCTCCCAAGACCACCCAGTGCCCGGCTGGGGTCAGCGGAGGACAGCGCCATCGGGCCACAGCCCAGGAGCCCAACAGCTCTGCCTTGTGTGCTCCAGCCCTGCCGCCAGCCCTGCCTGGCACAGGTGGCCTCCCAACCTCCTCTCCGGCTGCCCGCCCAGCCAGTCACCCAAGGCGCTCCAGGGAGACTTCCAATGCCTTCTCCAAAGCCAGGCAGGCCACCTGGCCTCAGTGCCAGGCGGGTGGCTGGCCAGCTGTGTGGTGAGCAGGGCTTCCTGGAGGGTACAGGTTGCCCGGCCCGCCAGACCGGTTCCTCTGTAGCCACCAGCCCCTGTCCAGCCCCAAACTGCCTCAGGCAGCCCCTCCAGGCCCAGTGCCCTGGGTCCTGTTCTTGAGGCCCCGAGGCCTCCCATCACCAGGGGCCCAATGCTGCTGCTGACCCAACACAGCCTTTCCTGCTTTGCTGTCCTCAGAAGGGGACAGTTACACAGGACCAGGACCAGACTCCTCGTGCAGAGATCCCAGGCAGGGATGGGAGCTCGCCTGCTCTAAGAGCATGTGTGTGTGGCGGGGGGCAGGGAGCCAAGACCCTGCCCACAGACCCTGGGTAACCTCAAGGCCAGCACCTTCCAGCAAGTCTTGGGGTTGAGGGGAGCCCATGAGGGTGGGGTCAGGGACAGTGACCTGACCCGTAGCTGCCCTTGGCCACACCTGGTGGGAGCCGCAGTCCCTCAGGGGCAGGTGTGTTTTCTGAGAGACATTATAAACAGGACTGTTGGCAGGCACAGGGTGGCCCACCAGGGCCAGGCCAGAGGCATGGGCTGCCCACTCCCCTCCACAAGGCCCCTGGACTGCTCCTTCTTCTGGTAACCCTACTCAGTGCATTCCAAGAACAGGCAACCAGAGGCAGGGCAGCAGGACAAGGGTGCCCCCACGAACATGGCCCCAGAACCCCAACAAGGGCATCCAAATCTTTGAGGCCCCACCAAGCCTCCTTCCTGGGAAAGCTTGGGCAGGGGAGGGGTGCTGGCTGTCCCTAGCCCCCAAGTAGAAGGCACCCTCCATGCCCTGGGCTTCCTGGTGTCAACTACAGCCACATGATGGGCCCCAAGAAAGAGTCCTGGTGATGCTCCAGGAGGGGCCTGCTCCAGAAGCTGCAGGCTCCCCTGCTCCCGGGCCTGCAAGCCAGCAATGTAGATGGCCCAGTCCTTGGCTGCTTCTGGGAAGTCCCTCAGGGACTTGGCTGTGGTCCCAGGAGCCTCAGCGGGCTCTCTGGGCTTGGAAGGAAGCAGGGTGCAGGCGCAAAGAGGAGACAGTTGCCCTAGAGCCCAGACCCTGGCAGCTACTGCCCTGCTTGCTCTCTGCCACATGATCATCTGCCCATCCCTGTGAACACCTCCCAGAGCCCGCACACGACCTCCAACCTGTCCCAGAGTTGGAGTGAGCCCAGGAGAGGCCTGCCCCTCCTGGGGTCTCTCATCCAACACACTAATTCTTAGAGGGTCTCTGGGAGATCCTCCTGGGGTCTGCTGGCCAGGGTGGCAGAGGGGCCGGCTAAGGACTTTCATAGGAGAGAAAATCAGGGGACAAATGAAACACATTCCAAGTATAGGGCACAGGGCAAGGAGAGAAAGCTGAGGGTCCAGGCATTCAAGGTTCGCTGGACAAGGGCTGCAAACATTGGGTGGGTGTGAGGCTGGGGAGGGGTAGGTGGGAACAGGCTCTGCAGGGTCTCAGACAGCCCTGTGCCTTCTCCTGAGAGCCGCAGCTTGAGGCTGGGGAGCAGCAGGTTGGTTGCCCTCCCCCAACCAGGATCCCAGCAAGGACCAGCCTGGGCTTCGGACTTTAGTGGAACTAAAGGTAAAGGGGACCTGGAAGGGGGTGGTCATCGTCCTCATGGTCTCTGGTATCAGGGAAGCTGGCAAGGTCAATGTGGTGTTCTGTGGCTGGAAAATCAACGGGGAGGGAGGGCTGGCTGTTGTGTCCCCACGGAGGCACCAGGTTGCTGCCAGCCATCCTCAGGGGAAGGCCTGGACAGATGGGGCTCAAGGGGGCAGAGAAAGCAGAGGCGTACCTAGGGCGCCCTTCTTCGCTAGATGGGAGATGCGAGTTCCACACACCCCCAACCTCGCACCCCCTCCCACCATAATGCGACTAAACACCGATCTTGGGACCTGGAACTACGGAAGGCGCGGGCCCCTTTTCCAGACCCGTGAAGGGGCTGCAGGACTGCGGGAACTTCTTAGGGCGAGTCTGTCTCCCCCGATTCTGTCCTAAGAGTGAAGTTGCATCCCAGAGAAACGCCTCTGAGCAGCTGGAGCCCAACTTTCCCGAGGGCGGGACAAGATGCAGCCCCGAGGGGCTGCAATACCCGCCTCCGCCGCGGGGGGCGCGCCGGGCGCCGTCCCGGGGCCGCTGCGCTCGGGTCCCGACACGTCAGCGTCCGCGCGGCCTGGGGCTCCCGGGTGGGCCCGCCCCACGCCCCACGCCCCATTCCGCACGGTTCCAGAGCCGAGAGGGAGCGGCTCAACCAGCCAGGGCTTCTCCTGCCCGCTTCTGGGGACCCCGCGCCCCCTACCTACCCGCTCCTGACACCACGGGCCAGGAGCTCCGGAAGGGCCGCCTCGCCCTCATCCCCTCCCCGCTCCCACTCTCGCCCAGCGCCCTCACTCCCACCCGCAGTGCCTGCTCCGAGAGACGGGAAGGGTTAACCCCGCGCGCTGAGGACCGCGGGGGCGACCGTGTCTGTAGAGCCGAGGCAGCAGAAGCGGGCCGCGTCCCTAGGGGGCGGAGCCCAGTTCCCTGGGGGCGTGACCGGGGCGTGGCCGGGCACTTCCTGCCTCCATTGCGGCCCCGCCTTCTTCCCTCGCGGGCGGGGCAGTGGGGGCTCCCCGGGCCCACCCGACTGGGACCTCAACCTTCCGACTCCGTGTGTCCGGGGGAGGCGGGAAAGATGGGCCTCTCTGCAGGCAGGGGCGGCTGTTCGGGGACTCTGTAGCACCCACCACCTGGGCACCCCTTCCCGCGAGGGTCGGGAGTGGACCTGGCTGTGGGGGAGTCCCTAGTTCCCCCCCAACACTTCAAGAAGTCGGGGTGCCAGGAAAGGGGCGGTTCCAGGCCCAGCTGGCGGAGGAAGCCGCGCGGTTGTGCTCCTGTTCCTCAACACTCTCGTTTCCCGGCCCAGCCGCCCATGCCCGGAAGCCCCCAGCCCAGCGTGCGCCCCGCCGGAGTCCGCCCCGTCCGGTGTCCACCCGTGGCGGACACGGAGAGGGGAAGCGAAAGCGGCAGCGGCAGCCCCAGGGAGTCCCCGCCGAGGGAGCTGGAGAAGCTGAGTCGAGTTTTCTGTAAAGTACGTCGTAATAGGAAACTGAGGCGGCGGGGACGCCCCGCCCGGCCAGCGCAGCCTTAGGGACAGGCTAGCTGGGCCGTGCACGCGACAACTATTCTTGGGCCTCGGCCGGCGGCGCCGCGGGGTCTTCTGGCTCCGGCCGAGCTCCGCTTTCCTGCGGCCCCGGCCCCTCCACGCGAAGCCCCCAAGGCTCTGCGCGGGGGCCCTTTCCCCGCGTCCTCCAGGGCCTGTGGAGGGGTCCTCTCCAGTTTTGTGCCCTCCCGCAAGCGCGCTGGATACCCCCAACAGAGGGAAGGACCAGCTCCTCTCCTAGTTCTGGAAACCCTTGGGTGCCCCCTCCCTCTGCATTCTCCCCCCCAGGTCTTTAGCCCCGCCCCAGGGTGCACACCCCTCCCGATGACTCACCCCCACCCAGAGGCAGGCACTCCCAGCCTGACTCACTACCGGGGTGCTGCAGTCCCCACATGGAGAAGCTCCCACTCCCGGTGCTGGGGTTGCTGCTCAGGTTCCCACTCAGATGGCATCCCCGGGCAGCCTGACCAGGGTGTTAAAGCGGTACATGCAAGCACTTGTTGCACACGTGTGATTTAGAAGCGGTCTGTCCTGCTGTGCTTTGGGACCTTGCAAGTGCCCTAGTCTCTGTCTCTTCCTTGAGCAGAACACTGTGATGGAGGGCTGGAGAGCACAGGACTCAGAAAGTGCAGACAGCCCCAGAGGGGCTCACCTCAGGGACACACCCAGCCTTGGAGAGGGGGGCCTGGCAACCTGGGGCCAGTGGAGTCAGGGCAGGGATGGACAGAGACTGCTTCCAGCCCCATCCTCCCGTCCAGCATCCGGTGGGGCTGGAAGAAGCCAGAACAGTGGTTCTTCACTGTCACACTTCAGGGCCGCTGGGGGCTGCGGGGAGGAGCCCGGCCTTCCCCACCCACTGACCAGAGGTCTGATGGGACTTTAGCATCTGGGGGAAGGCAGGCTCTGGTGTGGAGCCAGAGAGAGATTCTTGGTGGAGCCTAGCCAGGGGCTGCAAGCAGGGCCTTCTGTTGGCAGTACTGCAGGGCAGCACCTCTTCTGGCTCCAGGAGTCGGACATGCAGACAGATTGGGGGGGCCTTGTCTTTCAAGAGTCTCATGTGCCAACTGGGGGCAATGGCCATGTCAGAGGCCCAGCTTGTGCCCTACACAGGGGCCGCTGTGCAGCCATTGTGAAGGGGAGACCAGACCCCAGAGGGCTACTCTGGGCAAGAGGGCCCCTGACCAGCCCAGCCCTCCAAGCCTCAGCAAGGACAGGCTGTCCATGGAACCCAGGCCTACCTGCCAGAGGAGCAGGTGGACAGTGGAGGGGCAGGGCCCACCCACTTGGCCCCATAGCTGCTGCCCTTATCCACGGGGCGTCAAGACCAGCAACACCCTCCTGCCGCCAGTGGTATCACTAGGGAGGTATGGGTGTTTGTGGACCATACCAGGTGACACTGTCAGAGAGGGATGACTGTAAAATAACCGTCCATAACATTTTTGTGCAGTGTTTCAGCAGAAATGTATAATTTTTTATAAAAATATCCCTGTTGTTATAACAACAACAAAATATTTTTCATAAGCCCAGCTTACATGTATCAATATAGCTACAAGGCTAAAACTCTATGCTAATTTACTTTTTGAACCTTCTAATGCACTCTAGAGGCGTGGGTAAAGCGTCTGGCTTCTAACCAGAAGGTCAGCAATTCAGACCCACCAGCTGCTCCGTAGGAAGATGATGAGGCAATCTACTTCTATAAAGATTTACAGCCTTGGAAACCCAATGGGAGTCACTATGAGTTGGAATCAACTTGATGGCAGTGGGTAATGTGCTTCAAAGGAGTTCTGATGGCACATTGATTAAAGCATTTGGTTGTTAACCAAAAGGTTGGTGGTTTGAACCCACCAGCCGCTCCTCGAGAGAAAGATGAGGCAGTCTGCTTCTGTAAAGATTTACAGCCTTGGAAACCCTATGGCACAGTTTTACTGGGTTCTATGGGGTCACTATGAGTTGGAATCGACTCCATGGCAGTAGGTAATGCGGTCCAATCAGAACTGTCATTGTTACCCAATTACAGTGATGCTTCGAATCACATGGTCTCATCCGCGTGCACTTTAAGCTCACACTGTTGTTTTTGTTGCTGCCAGGGTTCTCCTAGTCATTGATTTTGTCAAATTTTCTGGTACTTTAGCTACAATATTGTGGTAAGTAGTATTTGTGAACCTATATCAATAACTTTTGATAATGAAGTAGTAATTAAAGGAAAAGGAAAAAGAGTTTTTTTTAAAAAAAGACTTCCACTCAGTTACTGATAATGTTGTAATTCAATGTAGAAAGATTTTGCAAAATAATTTTGTTGTTAGTATTCATATAATCTAAGAAATAGAACATTTAAGCAGTTTGTAACTATATCATATATTCTATCATTAAAATTGATAGTAAACATTACTAAGGATTCTTGTCTGGTACAGGAGATCCGTGGGAGGTTGACACCATGACTTACCACACTGGGTGACACCAACCCTATGACACCACTACCCACTGCCACCCCTACCATGACCAGAGAGCCTCCACCCCAGAGGGGTTTTCTGGAACTCTTTTTCTTAGAAACAGGAAGTTGCGATGTGGGCCATGTCCATCAGGTTCGGGCCCCACCCAGCTGCCTTCAGTGGGGCCAGTGGCCAGACCCAGCGGGGCTGCCCAGGTTCTGCTCACCTTGGCATCTCATCTCAGTGGGCAATCTCGTCTTCTCAGGGTGCATCTCAATGAGTCAGTGCACACAGGACCTGGAGCAGGGCCCCAGAGTGACCTGGAGTGAGGACCCATGAGAAATCCCTGGAGGGAAGAATGGGCATCTGTGTGCAGACCTGAAGTGCAAGTCCTGGGGTACAGACAGAGCAGGGCCCTAGAGTGTAAACCTAGAGCATAACTCTAGTACAAGGCTGCAAGGGTGAAGGTTCCGGCTCAAGCCCTTCCTCTCGCTCAGCAGTGCCCACCCAGATCCTTCCCTGCTCATGTGAGCAGATTGGAGTCTGTGCCACTCCTCTTCAGATCCCCTGGATCCCTAACGCCGGCCCCTCCTCCGAGCTCCCAAGTTTCCTGGTGGCTCCAGGAGGCCACAGCTGCAGCCCCTCCAAACAGAGCTTGAGGCACAATGACGTCTGCACTGGGCCTGGCTGCAGCATTCCTCCCCATCTGAGCCTGAGGGAGACGCCTCTGGGGCCTCATCACACACCCAGCCTGCCCTCCCAGTCCCCATGCCCCCATTTCCCAGGCCAGTGGACAGAGGCCCGGGTGAGGGCACACTCTGGCCCCTCCTCCCACGCGGCCCAGCCAGACCAGGTAGGTTTTGGAGGAATCTCCGAAGTGCTGCCTACACCTCTTGGAGCCTCTCTCCCAGGTTTTGGATTTTCTGGGGTCCCTCAGCCATGGAGCCTGGAGCAGACCAGGCCAGGGAGGCCCTGTCCCTGTTTGTTTGGGGTGGCCAAGCTTGGTGCTGGTCTCCTCCAAAGAGCTTTTTCCCTTAGGAGCCTGGCAGGGGCACAGCTCACTGGAGAGCAGATCTGACTTAGCGGGCTGGGGCTGGAGGGTGCAGAGACATGAGTGAGATGGACAAAGTCATCTGGGCTGAGCAGAGGAGATCCCTGGGTGTGGAGTGACAGTGACCACTAGCTGGCCAGATGGCCACCTGGGTCCCTTCTGGGGTTCAGGACTGGAGCAGGTCAACAGGACAAAGAGCTAGTGGGACCAGCTGGGAGGTACTTCTGGGCCCAGACTGCCCCTGCCTCACCCACACCTGGGCATCAGGCAGGTAAGGTGGGCACCCTGCATCATCCCCAGGTGGGCTGGTGGTCAGGAGCCCACTCCTACAAGTGAGTCCACTGTAGGGTCCCAGTTGGGACTTAGCCGTGGCCTCTGAGAATAGCCCTTGGATGGCTGCAGGGAGGGAGGAGGCAGCCCAGACACTCTGCTCACAGGGCACCATCAGGGAGGTTTGGGGACCAGTTTGGTGCATCTGCCCTGATGATCTTATCTGGGCTTGACATACTGCAGCTGAAAGGCAGGTGACTGAACAGAGGGGCAGAGCCAAGGCTGGAGAGAACCAGAGAGAAGTCCGGCTCTGACCCCCACCAACACACCCATGCTGCTTGCCAACTGGCTCTGGATGCACAAGCACACCTGTCTGATTGCCCTCGGTGCAGTCAGTCATGTGACCTGCCTGGGCCCATACAGAGTCTGCAGGGACCCTGCAGCATGAGGCAGTGATAAAGTATTGTGGGGTGGGGCTACCTGGCCCCTCCTCCCAGAGCTGGACCCCAGCCCCTCTCTCCACCCTTGTCTGGGGCTCAACTGGAGACCCTTTTCCAGGCCCCGAGCCCGACCTTGAGTTCCTACCTTCACATGGGCCTGTCCCTGGAGGATTGTAGTAGGAGTAATCTGAGCTAGAGCTTGGGTCGAGCTTCCTGCCAGTCAGAGCTGCCAGCCCAGGGAGCAGGAGGGCCTACCTCCAGCCGGCCAGACACCTGCCCAGCACAGAATGGGCCAGAAGACCCATCACGGCCGGACTCACCTGCCTGCCCCCCGAAGCAGGCCACCTGCTCCAGGCTGGGTGCCCCATGGCCGCTGCCCCACTAGCCTGGCATGGGCCCGGGCACAGATGGCTGCATGCGTGAGAGGCCTGAGGGCCAACGTCACCAAGGCCCAGGGTGGCAAGGTGGGCGGGGATCCAGCCCCCAAACATTCTGCCTTTGCTTTTCCCCTAGTGGCTGGGCAGTGGCGGGTGGAGAGGAGGATCTGGAGCTGTGGGGTCCTCTGTGGCCTGGTTTGACATCCTCCTGGGCCACTGTCAGGTCACTGCTCCCTTTTCCTAAGGACAGCTGCCCTCTGGGGCACAGATAGTCCTGGGAGAGGTGCCGGCAAGAAGAGCCCCCCAGAGCCAAGGAGCATACCTTTCTCCCATGGGGTCCCAGGCCACAGGACACTCAGAAAGGGTGCACCAGTTTCCTTCCTGGGTACCTCCAAAGCAGGGTTTGGGGGAGGGGCCACTCCCTCTGTGAACATGGTTTTATCATCAGCCTATCCCAGGGGTGGAGGGGGTGCTCTCTGGCTGAAAGGAGGTGGCAGAGGGCTGAAGGGCTTCTGGGGAGGTGTCAGGTAGCCAGGCTTGGGCGTGGTCCTGGCAGGGTGGGCTAGGCAATGGGTGGGGGCCCTGGCTAGCAGAGAGAGTGGCTCAGTTGAGGGGAGCCCTGAGGTTGGGGAGCGTTCCTGGCCCTACGGAGGTTTCCAGCTCAGGGCCCTTTGCATGCAGCACCCTCTGGGTAGGAAGGGTCCTTGGTGGTACAGGCAGGTGGAAGTGAGGTCATGCTTAAAGGCAGGGATCCCCACTGTTATCCTCAACCCATCCTCTGGGCTCCGGGGACAGGGGAAGGATAGGTGCCCAGCTGCTGCTTAGCTGGGTGGCGGCTTCCTCTTTCCATGAGGGTGAGCCTGGGTCTGTCTCCCCAGATGGGCCAGGCCCGACCATGGGGTGGGTGGAAGTGGGGGCTGGCCGTGGGGGCCAGGGCAACAGTAGGCAGGAGGAAGGCAAAACCCAAGAGGAAGATAGTAGCGCACAGCTGAGACCTGGGGACCTGGGTGGGGTCCCCCCATTGCTGGTGACTCAGGGGAAGTGAAAGCTGTGTGGGGGCAGGGGTGGAGACTAGGAGCTAAGAGCGGGGTCTTGAACTGGTGCTGACAGTCAGTCCCAAGAGCAACCACCTCTGCCCTAGACTCATTTTCCTTCAGGTCTCAGGGGGTGTGGAAAGCAGGTCCTATCTAGAAAAGAGACCTCACTTGGGCTGGGCAGCTACTGCCTGGCGGCTGCGGAGGTCAGACCATGGAGGTTGGATTGCAGCAGCCCTGAGCAGGAAGCCAGGGATGGGCAGAGTGCCATCTTCATCCTCCCCTGGCCTGGAGACAAGCTGCCAGGAGGAACCTGGGAGGGCTTCCTGCACACCTTTGGGTGGCCCTGGGAAGGGGTTCTCACTGTGGCCTGTCTCCACCAGTGGTGGAGGTGCCCAGAGCCCTTCAATGCTACATGATTTAGTGATTTACCAGTACCCAAAGGCCAGGCAATCCCAGGGCAGCCTGGGAAACAGGAAGTGGAGCTTGGAACCCTGGGAGATGTTGCTGAGTCCAGACAAGGTGACAGCCAGACCTCCATGCTGCCAATGCCAAGGCCCCTTGGTAGGCAAGTGCCCCAATTGGCCACAGACTCCCCACAAGCCTAGGATATTGGGGCTTCAGCTGTCCCCACATAGAAGTCGTTCTGAGGACTAAGCATCTCACTTGCCCCATCAGCCACCTCAGGGTCCAGGATTCCAGGTAGAACTGGGAGCTACGTGGTCCGACTTAAGGTCCCCCGGAGGGGAGCCTGGAGGTGGTTTGCTGCCTCCACTGATCCACCCCCTAGCCCAGCCTTAAGTGTCCCTGGCTGGAAGTGGTACCCCCCAACGGGCAACCAGCTATGGGCTAGGGTCTGGGCTTGGAGGACAAGAAGAGAGCCCCAAGAAGTGATGGGCTGTGAGTGAGGGAGATGCTGGGAGGCCTCAGTGGGGACCTGGGCCTAGAGTAGTAGTTTTCCCAGGAAACTGGGGCAGAGCCTAGAGGTCAGACTCTGTCCTGGGGAAGCTGTAACCTCGGCTGCCCCCGGGCCTCCTAGAACTCCTGTGTACTGCAAGCCCACCAAGGGGTCCCACTGACCCCAAAGTGGAAGAGGGCAGGAGAGTGGACCACAGAAAGTCCTGCACACCGCTGGCAGCTCCTCGTGAGATGGTGGAAGAAGGGGGCAGGGCACCCAGTCAGGGAATGCCTATCAGATGGCCTGGAGGAGGCTGAGTGTCCTCACCCTGGCCTAGGTCCATTCAGGGTCCTGGGAGACCAAACGCCTTTACAATCTTTCTTTTTCCCTCCCCAATTCTTAGGGCTCTGCCCCGCCCCCCACATGACCCTCAGGGGAGGGGGACAACTGTGCACCACCTGCCTGCTGGCAGGAGGGGCTTGGGGGCACGAGCAGGCCGCCTGACGCTCTGAAGCCTTTATTGTACAGCCTGGTTTGCGTCAAAGGGCGGCGGGAAGCAGGGCCGAAGGACCAGCAAATACACAGGAGTAGATAAATATGCCAAGCGGTTTCTTTTTTTTCTTTTTAAATCAGGCATTTATAAACAAGAAAGCATACATTAATTACATAAAAATAGTTCTCGAATAGTAGAGTAAGTCGTAATATTGTCATTAGCAGCAGCATGGGGGACACGGGGCGGGACGCAGGGCGCTCCTGGCGGTTAGGAAGGTCGAGGTGGTCTTTTTCTGTAATCGAAAAAAACGTCATCTGTGACTTCCGATTTAAAGCAAGAACAAAACGCCTCCCTCAACCCTGTGGACTGGTGGGGTAGGGGCGGGGGGACCGGACCTCAATCAGAAAACACAACCACAGCCGGAGCGCGGGCCACGGCAGAGGGTGTGTTGCACATGCCCCCTGCCGCTCCTCGCGATCCAGGGGGGGCGGGGCACCCCAGGGGAGAGGACCGGCAAAGGGGTTCTTCCCTCTAGCAGACGAGCAATTTTTTTTTTTTTTTTCTCAGTTAAAAACTCAGAAAACAAGACAACTACCAGGTAAGAAAAAGTTTCTGAAAAAGGAACCACCATATACACGTATAATACAACGGTGTAAAAGGAAAAAAGGTATTTACACGTTAATTATCTTTACACTGGCTAGTCCTGTATGAAAAGCAGGGGATTACGTGGACGAGTTAGCTGCTCCGGAGATATGTTATTGCTGTTGTTTTTTTCCCTTCGTTAAAAATCTTCTTTCAGTATAGAAATAATAAGTATGAAACTGAATACACAATTATTTAGATAATGGGTTTTACATACTGGGAGAGTCAACAGCCCACAAGACACATGCCTCTTCTCCCTTCTTCTGAAAAGAAACTAAACACAGCTGTGCTAACGGGGGGCCCAGGGGACCCAGGGGTGTCCTGGTCCAGCATAGCCCCTGGAGCTGAGCCATGGCCAGCACCCTCAGGGCCCTGAGTCAGCAGGGAGGCCCTGTAGTCCCCCCTGAGCCTCACCTGGGAAAGGGTCCCACCCAGAGGTGGCCCAGGCTCCCCGTCTGCATGGCTCTGGGATGGGGACCACGGGAAGGGATGAGAAGAGGGGCTGTGGGGTAGATATTGGGCAAGGGGATCCTGCCTGAGCCCTGTGCCTGCCGGGCTCTTTGGGACACTGGCAGGGCCAGATCATGCTTTCTGAAGTCTGAGGCCTTGGAATAGGGGCTGGGTGGCTGAGACATGTGGATGGCCAGTGAGAACAGGCAAAGGGAGGAAGAGGCTTCACCCTGCGTAGGAGACACACACATACAAATCAGGAAAGCTTCTTCTCTGGGGCTGAAAGACTCGGAGCAAGCCACAGCGGGCCCAATAGGGAGGCCCAGGTGGGGTCCCTGGATCTCACCGTGGTTTTCACTTGGCCCCACGGCCCAGTCACACAGAAGCACGCTGACACGCGGGAAGCTTTGCTCCAACTAAATCATTTAGTTTCCCTTCAAGAAATGACGGAAAAAATCACAAATCTGGAAAAACAGGGCGGAGAACAGCATTTGCGTGTTGTATAACAAAACCGACCCTTTACATGACACAGTAATAATGCCCATCGATGGATATACGTGTGGCAGATTTAAAATTCCATGCATACAGATTTAATAACTGCAAAAGAAAAACAAAAGCAAAAGAGTAAAAAACAAAAAAGTTTCCAAACAAACGCTGCATATATGTGATGTCCCTTTTGCATTGCACTTTAGAAGGGGGCCCAGCAGGCCTGAGCCCCCGCAGTAAACCAAGGGCCAAGACCCTGCAGACGATCCTGTCACCTAAACGCTGGGGGTTTGGCAGTCTCTGGTCTCTGCTTCTCGCTGCCAGCTGCGGTGGCAGCGGCTCCTCGTCGCCGTCTGACCCCCACACACGCGGCTCCCACCTCCTGCAACGCCTGTACCTGCCGTGGTGTTAGGACGGACTCAAGCAGAGAATTCCTGTAAGCTCTCTCTTCTGTAAATAAATACCATGATTTCAGGATGGGTGGCCACCTCTTGTCGACTGGGAACTCACTTTTCAAGCTTGGGCGTTAAGAAATCTTATACAATTTGCATAAACAGTTGAGAGTAAACGAGATTATTTGGAATAAATGCAAGTAACTTATTCTGAGAGTGGCAGATCCGCTCGCTACCGAGGGGGGTATTTTGGGGGTAAAAAGACACGAGTCAGGGTTCTCTGTACAAGATGCTGGAAGGCACAGACCACCCCCCGAAGTTCAGTTTTTGCATTTTCTTTTTCTTGTGATTCCCTTGTTCAACCAAGCACCAGAGGGGATTTCCAAGCACTCGAGCACTTAGGGCTGGAACTGCTCTATCAATCGGCTTGCAATGTTTTAAAAGGAAAAATATCAGTTGACTGGGGAGTAAAAAGAGAAGGGAAGATTCTTGACAAAGTGCAGTTCTAAGTATACGTTTAAATGAACAGACGGACAGACAAAAAGAAGTGAAGTGACGCATTTGTTCCAACGCATGGCCGCAGTCCCACCATGGAGGAGCGATGGCTGCTGAGCTGAGGGGGCACTGTGGTCGTAGCGGCGGGCACGGGCAGGCAGCACTGTCACCCCGGCACACCGGGTGTGGGGCTGGTCCTGCTTGGTGGGGCACTCGACACCCACCCCGGATCCCTCCCAGCTGACTCTCTCCTCGGGCTCTGCCCCTCAGCGCGCGTTCCGGACACGCGTGCTGACGGCCGCGGTGATGGCGCGGGACCAGGTGGATGTCAGTAAGGCGGGCAGCGTTGCAGCTCATCCCTCTCACACGGCCTCCTCATGCTTCCTGGCGCTACAGGAAAACTGGGTCTTTGTCGTTTAAAAAATAGACTCTGAAGAAAATCCCTCCGGCGTCCTCGCTGGCCGCGGGGGTGGGGTGAGCTGCGATGGCTTCCAGGGCCAGGCGGGCCACATGGCGCCTCCCTGGGCTTCCTTAGCGGGTCTTCAGATAGGGCGTCGAGTGTTGATGGGGCTTTCAAAAGTCAGTCATTAAAAAAGTGTTGATTTTTCTGAATAATAAGTCTCTTTATTGGTTTTAAATAGCTTATAACAAAAGTGTAAATGTTCAAATGTCCTAGCAAGTGGCAGGCCGCCTGGAGCCACTGTGGCACTGCCCGGTGTCGCCCGCAGGACCAGAGGGCGGCTTGCTCCCTTGAATTGGCCAGTAGAAAATTCTGCAGTGGATTCCAAAAGTATGTGGTTACAAACACTCGCTTGGTTATAGGCACAGTAAGACGTTGTGCTGTGTGAACCGAGGGGGTGCAGACACAGGCCTGGGGGCCTCCTCAGCCGCGCTGCCGAGCACCCGCCTGTCCCGATTCGTGCCGTCCTGCACGCGGAGCATGGCAGAGAGGTCCCTACGGCTCCAGCTCAGCTGCGCTCTCGCTGCCCGCCGCCTCGCCGCACGGCCGGGGCCACAGCTGCTCCTGCAGCTCCTTCACCACCTTCTCCAGGTGCTCACGGGCCTCGCGCTCCCGCAGCAGGTCAGCGCGCAACTGCTCCCGGTCTGCCTCTGCATGCTGCAGCTTCACCTGCAGGTCCTCGATCTGCGGAGAGATGCCACGTCAGCGCTGCACAGAGTCCCCCTCCCCCCGACGTGGGCGCCACCCCCACCCAAACCCCTCTGCACCCAGGCTCAAGGAGATGAGTCGATGACCAGCTCCTGAGTAGAACTTGAGGGTGGCTCTAAGGTGGGAGGGCCCAGGCCTGGTCTGTCATCACAAGACCCCACTGGTTTGCTGGGTGGAACTCCCTCTGGCCAGTCCAGGGTCACCCTTCCCATGCCTGGGAGAAAAGGTCAATGGGCACCACAGCTCACTGTGAGCCCCTGCGACCAGGGACTGGGGGCTAGGGTCCTACCAGCCCACCCTTCGGCCCCTCTCTTGTGTACCTGGGCTGAGTACTTGGCCCGCAGGCGTCCGGCCTCACAGCCCTTGTCACACACCCGGACCTGTCGTGCCTGCTCCAGCTCCCGCTTGAGGCGCACACGTGCCTCGTTGGCCTCCTTCATCTTCTTCTCATTCTCAGCCCGCAGCCGCTCAATCTCCTTTCGCAGGTTGCGTTTTGCCTCTGTGGCCTCCCGCAGCTTCTCCTTCTTGGCCACACGCAGGAACTCCAGCTCCTGGGGCAGAACGTGGACTGGTCAGGGCGCTAGGGACCTCACCACCTGCTCTACCCTGCTGACTGTCAGCACCTGTACCCCCTCTCCAAAGGCCCTTCTGGTGCAGTTTGTTCCCCAGGCCCTCAAAGACACTGCACATCACAGTGGATGTCTGATCCTATGCACCCTCTCAGGTCAGAAGGTCCCACCAGCACCCCAAGCAGCAAGGCCTCAGCACCTCCTCTGGGCACAGGCAACGCGTGCCCTCTGCAGAGGCAGAATAATGCGCTGCCAGGCCAGAATGGGCATCCAGTCACGCTTGCTGGCTCCCACAGGCACAGGGTTCAGACATGGGGCCCTGAGGGCCAGACGTCCACCCAGCCTGATGGGGACACCACCTCCCTGAGCTCTACTCCATGTTCTGGCTGCTGCATCTTCTGAATGTGTTCAGTGTTCATGCAAACCACCCCACCAAGCAGACTCTGAGCATGCGGCTGAAACATACCCAGGTGACTGTGTTTGCACCCCAAAGCTCAAAGGGCCACAGGGCTGGATAGGAAGAAAGCAAGCTGTTCATGAAGCTGTCCCTGAGCTGCCAGTCCTGCCTGGTGCCACAGCACCCGCTGAAGTGTTTCCTCAGCTGGTGTGGGTAAAGGAGCCCCAGCTGCCTTACACCCTCCCCCACATTCTATGTCCCACCAGGGGTCTGCAGACACCACTCAGAACTTCCTGTGAGCCCACCAGAGTGGCCCCACCTTGTTTGTATCAGAAAAGAAACAAATGCAAAGGGTAGAGCAGCAGCTCAAGCTGGAGCTCAGGACGGTGCTGGGGGCGCTCCAAGGCCCTCTGACAGACAACAATCATTCTGCCTGGACTCTTCTAGGACGTCCGCACAGTATGAGAAACAGCAAGGCAATGAAGTAACCGAGAAACTGACGACATAGGGTATATGTGGGAGGAGTGGGGAGCACAGGGTGAGGGAGAAGGGGTGTGGGGAGAGTGCACTTATCAGTGGAGATGTGTGTGGGTCATGTGCATGGAGGTGCATGCAGGGCTGTGTGTGTGGAGATAGGTACAGAAGATGCATGTGGTAGAGGTGAATGAGAGGCATGTGTTCAGAGGGGGCATGCGCATGGAGGTGTGTGTGCGTGTGGAGGTAGGTGCAGGGCATGTGCATGGAGGTACATGTGTGGAGGCGGATGTGGGCCACGTGCACAGAGATGTGTGTGGGGCATGTATGTGCAGGTGGGTGCAGGGCATGTGCATGGAGATACACGTGGGGTGTGTACATGGAGATGAGTTCGGGTCATGTACATGGAGATGCACATGTGTGAAAGTGGGAGTGGGGCACAAGCATGGAGGAGGGTACAGGGCATGTGTGTGGAGGTGCATGTGTGGCATATAGATGGAAGTGGGTGTGAGGTGTGCGCATGGAGATGCATGTGCGTCGAAGTGGATATGGGGTACATGTGTGGAGGTGGGTGCAGAGATGCATGTGTAGAGGTGAGAGACACGAGCACAGGGGGCACATGCATGGAGGTGTGTGTGTGGAGAGGTAGGTGTAGGGCATGTGCATGGAGGTATGTGTGGAGTATGTGGGGGGGCATATACATGGAGGTGCACATGTGTGGAGGTGGGAGCAGGGCACATGCGTGTGGAGAAGGGTATGGGGCATGTGTGTAGAGGTGCACGTGCAGGCAGGCATGTGTGTATGTGGAGGTGCGTCTGAGGTACATCCGGGGCACATGTGGTGGTGCATGTAGGGTTGCGTCCATGTGTGCCTAGAGCCCGCAGTGGGCTACACGGAGACCCCTGTGTCCTGCCAGCTGCTCACTGCTCAGGGTGCTTCACCAGCCCCCTTCAAGAACACACAGCTCCAAGTCCTTGTCAGCTAAAACGCCTTTTGCAGACAACAGGCCCTGCTGGTGGGGCATGCGTGTATCTACTTCTGGCACATGGAGTGTGAAATTGTCTTGGGTGCAGCTGCTCCTAACTCCCTCCACTAAAAATAGCCCTGCTCACTATGCCTGAGTGGCACGCCGCGTCATTATGTGGCATTGAGCAGGGCGCGTGACTCATCAGGGGGTCAGCACGCGGGGCCTCCCTGAGAGGGCACCTGACGTCAGAGGGCACCCACACCAGAGCCGTGGCCCTAGACGTGGCGGGTCTGGGCAAGCAGGAGGGGCCGCACCTGGTGGAGGCTTCGCTTGGCCTGCAGGGCAGCACTCAGCTTCTCCTCCTGCCGCACACGCATCCTCACCACCTCGTGCAGGAACTTCTCTTTGGCTTCCTTGGTGTCCAGGCCGCTCTCCAGCGCTTGCCGCAGGTGCTCCAGCTCAGCCTCTAGCCCGCCACCCGGGGCCTCGGCATGAGCTGCTGTGTCCAGAGCAGTGCTGGCTGTGGGCGGGGCATGCACGCCAGGGGAGCTCAGGTCCTTGGCAGAGCTGGACGAGGTAAAGGACGGGGACGAGAGCGAGGACAGGGAGGAGGTGACTGCAGAAACAAACAAATAACCCAATGCTACAGAGCACGCTCCAAAGCACGGCACCCCTCGAAATCACGACGCACTCCTGAGCCAGGCCTGGGGCAGAACCATGGCCACACACCAAGTTACACAGCATTCTCTGCCGAGGGGGTACACGTGCCGCACACCCTGATTGCCCGAGTGGAGCCCCGCTACCCACCCAGAGCCCAATGCCCCTGAAGTGACCCCACGTATCCCACACCCACCCAGGGGGCCCCATGACTGTCCCTCACCCCAGTTTTGGCAATGTCCACAGGGAGTAAGAGAGAAAACTCAACTCACACTTACATTCCTCTCTGCTTTCCACTTCAACCTCAGCTTCCGAGTCCTTGTCCTCCTCTGGGGCAGTGAGAGGCACCAAAGTCTCAGGGACCACAGGGTTCTCCTCCGCCAGCTTCCGCTTTCGCGGCTGGATGGACATGGAGAGGGGCTCGGGAGCCCGGGAGACAACAGTGGCACATGGAGGGCTGGTCACAACCTTCTGCTGGGCCGGTGGTGCAAGGGCCACATTGGGGGCCACAGCCGTCTCAAAGCTCTTGTAGGAGTAGAAGCTGTGGAGGATGGCAGGCATTGGGGCACTGTGTCTGCTTACCACTGGACCCTCCCAACACATGTGTACCCAACCCTGGGGCCTGCAGCGCCAGCTGTACTACCCTAGGCTGCCAGAGTGGGTGGTGCCTCGGCCTCAGAGCCAGCCACCTGCCGCAAGCCTCCATTACAGATGCCCTCACCTTGGACATCTGAATGTCAGACTTCCAAGGACCAAGAACCACGGGCTGCCAGCACAGTGGGGACACTGGTACTGGTTGTACCAAGTGGAGGTACGGCTCTTCCCACAATCCTCTAGGAAAACCCAGGGAAGGCTCTAGATGAGTCCCCCACACTTTTGGGGTTCCTGGGCACCTAGCCCACAGACACCGGTATGTGTGTGCTTATAAGCAGCGTTTGCAAGGATGAAAAAGGGGAGCCAGCCTAATGAGGTCAGTGTGAATGAGCCCTCCTCACATGTCCGCCCAGAGCAGCTGCTCTGCTGCCACCACGGCAGGGCTCAGCAGAGCAAGGGCCACAGAAGACGTCTCAACAGGCAGTGGGGGAGCCCAGGCTCGGGGATGTGGAGCAACGTGCCCCCGTACCCTGACGGGGCTGGGGGCTGGGCAGAGACTCCTCATGGGAAATTCAACTAAGCCTAATGGGATGT